ACTATTGGGACTTCAAAGAAGTTTTATGAGGCGGGGTTTCACATATGTCAATTTTGGAGAGTTGGATGGTTTGGTTGAGTTGTAATTTTTAATGGCTTTAACTTTTCACGTCAAATTTTCGTGCAACACATAAGCAACAAAGAGAAGGAAATCTATGAATAATGGATGGAGTGCAACTCTAAAAAATGAGTGACCATCGAAAAGTATATTAAAGTTGAATGAGTAAATAGTATAAGCTAATAAAATATTTTACTTGGATGATTTGACTAAGTTGTAATTTTTTAAATAATTGTAACTTGTCACATGCGATTTTCATTTGACACATCAGCAATGAGGGGAAAGAAATCTGACTTGCTATTGATGAAGTACCAACGGACAAAGTTTAATGAGTATTGTGAAGTACTTTGAAGTTTAGTGAGTAAATCGTAATCATGGTATAAGTTGGACGATAAACGAAACATTTAACTTGCCTTTTTCGCAATCAATTTATGAATATATAACGTCTCACTATATTAATGATCAAACAACTTCTTAACATGAAAATCTTCATTAATGCTTGTTATGGAATGTTACTGAATGTAACTATATTTTCAGAGCCATGTCAGTGCTTCATTTAAGGATAAAAAGTTCTCATTTTTAAAATTTTTATATATTTGATGATAAAATGATTAGATCGTGATTTTAGGCTTGGTGGATTAATGAAATTGTCCTAGTCGTTTTCAATCCAATTAGTAGCTCGAGCTTCTGTCCTCAATGAAAGAGAGTAACGTGCATTTTACAAACTTTATTATTTTTATATAGAGAGAATGAACCTACATTACATGTTAAGACGTATAGAAAGGACCATTTTAGATTCAAAATTTTAATTCGATAAAAGTTTATGATCAATACAACATCATAAATAATGATCTCTTCTAAAAATTCAGAAGTAGTGCCATTTCTATTTTTAAGTGACATTAAATGGATCTCATATTTCTATTTTTAATTGAACAATATTCTTGGTGACACCTAAACTGACAATGGTGTTAAATAGCATTTTTCGAACTTTAGTGATGAAAATGACTGGTATTATTTAATAATTTCATTTCATACTATTAGGGTATGTTTGGTGGGTAGCCTTAGAGAAAATTAGACAAGAAAATATTGAATGATATTTAAGCAACCATATGATTGTTTAGTGTAATACCACGCCATAAACGTTTTGTCCATCTCTCGTTCCATTCAGATCATGTTTTAGCATGATTTTTGCTTTTACTTTATTTTTATAGAAGAATTTTTTTGAGAAAGTCATCTTGAATTAACTTTCTCTAAAAGCATTTTTAACATGACAAAGCATTTCAAATAAATAAATCAATAAATAAATCAAACAATTTCAAAAGTAGCCTCTTAATTATGAAAACGACTTTTAACTTTTCAAAACCTCACTCACCACTTTTCTCTCTGGATTTCTTTCTTAATTTTTGTAATTAATTTTGTCCATAGAGATATGAAAGAGATTGAAAACATGAGACTCTCATGACACGAGCATCTTTAAATGGCACCCAAAGGGATATCATATGTCAAGTAATTTAGTTGACTGGACTACATTTTAAATAATCTTAGGTGTATTTTGCAATTGTGACGAAAATAATAACGAAACTTCAAAAGTTTATAAAAGATCACATACAAAAGCCGATTGTCCATCTATTTAAGAAAATAGTAAATTATAATAGTTGGCGTTAAGGGAAAAATCCCACATCGGTTAAGTCTCTGAATGTCTATCATTAAAGTAGAAAAATGAGTTTTGGAATAATAAAATTTTGAATAATGTGCAGTTATAAAGTAGAAATTTTTTTTTGAGTTTACTTCCAAAATATTTCATCGTGAAAATGAGTTTAAAAAAAAATTAATATAATAGTAGACAATTAAGGGCTAAATATCGAAATATAGACCAATATGTAAAAGTTTCTATTATAAAATATCAAATTTATTAAGAGAAGTAATTTAAATTCTTATATGTTGATCTATATTTCGATAATTATTCAATGAGTTTTGGATAATTTATCCCTTAACACATGGTGCATTGGTCATTTATTATTTAGCAAAATCTATTACCATTTAGCATATTTTAAGAAGTTTGGTGAGCCATGAGTTGGCACACTACTTGGCTAAAAGTGAGTAACTTTGAGTAAATTCCAATGCTTCATAATTAAGATTGATGATTATCGAGTTGGTACTTAGGAAACTAACCGTCATTATAAAAGAATTCACAAAGGGACACAAAAAATAATAATGTTTCATTAATTAGTTGCATAATCAGATTTCTAAAAGTGAAAATATCCAAAGTTTTCAGTTTTGTTGAATTGAAATGTTCAATTTTGTGAAGCTACTTCCACTCAAAATGTTGTCAAAAATTTTGAAGGAGAGATGTGCTAATTTTTACAAGAGCCTCATGCTAAAGAACAATTTGTTTTCCTTTAAAGGTTTTTACTCAATTTAGCTACACATTGTTTTATGAATTTAAGATATTGTATCATTGAGGGTTCAAATCATGTGTTTTCTTTTTGCGACTTGAAATCAGAATATTACATATTATCCATACTTACTTATAAGAGTAATGTTATTTGCAGTTGTTCACTGTCGCAGTTACCCTACGTGGCGTCCATGTGGAGGCTAATTAATGCATCAAATCACTAACCGTTACATAAATGTTATGTAGAACGACTATAGCAGTGAGCGAGTGCAAATAGTATTATTCTATTTATAAATGTAATTTTGTTTATTTTTATTTAATTGTTATTTTCTTGAGGGATTTTAAGGAAAAACCAACATGTGTAGTAAAACAAATAACTTAAAAGTAATTTGATTACTTTTTAAGAATATCTTTGAAAAATAAAATTAATAGAGTACAAAAAACAAGAATAGAAGGCATATATAGATGAACTTTCGAAATTTAAACTTTAGAATTCTATTATTATAAATTATCACATTTGAGTCCAATATCGAGACATTGTGAATTATCAATTTATGCTTACAAAAAGTTGCCGACATTGTAATACATCTTTATTAAAACTTGTAAACATCCTACATTACTTCATTGATTGTAAGGGGACCATTTGATCATTTTCAATTCAATCAAAATGAAGAGTACGTTTTACAAGTTATTATTGATGGTTATATATTCAAATATTATTTTGTGTTTTTTTTTAAAATATAATATTATTGACAAATAAGATAATGTTATATTATTCACAATCAATTTTCATTTTTTTTATTATAAAGAAATCTACTTGATACGTTATACCTTTTCATTTATAAATAATAATTCTACAAGGGTATAAAATATTACAAGTTAACAATTTATTTTTACTTTTACTTTTATGTCATGGACACACGCATAAATTACTCAACGTGCATCGTATTTAAATAATCGATGGAGCATCAAAAGATTTTGTGAAATAATTTAGTCTCGTTAAACATGTGTTATTTTGGCCATGTTTGGTGCATGTTAAAATCAGGTTTTTAGAAGATTTTAGTGTATATATATTTTTATTTTATTTTTTTTGAATTATTGATGGGGATAGACCCACATCTTACTGCAACACTTTGAATTTTTTTATTTTTTTATTTTTTTATTTTTTTATTTTTTTAACCATAACTCTTTCAGTATTTTGATTATATATGTCCTTGTTTGATTTTTTTTTTTTTTTTTTCTTATATTTCTCTCATACTAACTTTTAATTTTACATTCTCCAATAAAATATTATTTTTCATGTTGTTTCATAATTTTTCCTACTTCTATAAGGCACATAAATTCCTTTTTTTTTTTTAGTGCCTAAACTCTCTGTCTATTGCAAAGAGTAAGAGTAGAGAGTTTTTTGAAGCCTAAATTTAATATTTGAATCTTTAAAATAAAGAGTATTCTCACTTTTAAAGAGTTCACTAGAGATGTTTTAACTTTTTATGAGAATGGTTTTTTGAAAATTACATCTTTTCAACAATTATTTTATTTTACATATTATCAAAAAATTATTTTTTACATTTTTCCATATATATTTTTTCTACTTTTTAATTACATGTATTGAAAAACGATCATCTTTGATTTTTCAAAGAATTTCTCCCATACAAGCACCAACTCTTGTGCACTGCAGAAGCTCAACACCAATTTAATATTGGTAAGTCCTCAGTGTTTAATAACCATTACATTTTGACCCTTAATCTTTGAAATAGAGCATTAAGGCCTCCAACCTTCTGAATTTGTGACATTTGAGTCCCTAATGACAGCAAAGCTAGTGGGGCATGGTGATGAATGGGTTTTGATGGTAAATATTAACGAAATGAAAAAAGGTTGAAGAAAATTATTCTTTCCTTTTTTCATGTTAATCTACATAAGTATATGGTATTTGTTTAACAAATATTTGACATCTTAATGGTCAAACATTATTTCCGTTGATATGAGACAAAAATGCTATAAATGTAAAATGTTGAAAATTCAGAAATTTCATTTTCAAAGTTAGAAACTTAAATGCAACACTTACAAAAAATTTAATTAGAATTTCCCTGTAATTTCTGGAACCCGTTTGATGTACAATAAAAAGAGTGTCTTTTTCTTTTTTATTATTATTTTTTTTTTTTTAGGGGGGCGGGGGGGGGGGGGGGGGAATGAGTTTTGAAATAATGATTTTTTGGAAAATGTAAGGTTAAAAAGTAGAAAAACATTTTGAATTAACGTATAAAATATTTTACCGTGAGAATACATGATTAAAAATAAATTTAAAAAATAGGTATATTTTGAAAAAAATAATATTATTTGTAATCGTTCCCTACCACAATCGTTCTATATGAAATATATGTAACAGTTAGTGATTTGATATATAAGAAAAGAAAAAGCTATCACATTGAAACATTAAATCATAAATCATATATAAAATGCCACATAGGATAACTATCGCAGTCAACGATTATGAATAGTTGCTTTTTGATGAATGATGGACAAATGAGCGGAGTAGGAGACACAGAAAACATTAGTCATCAATACAAGGAATAGGCGTCTACCAAGTGCATATATATGTCTGAACGGATTTTGCCATTTTATCCCGGCTTTTGTAGCAGGTTTGATGTCTGAACTGGCCATTGGCTGTCACTCTTTTTCTCTCACATACACAGTCTCGCTCTCTCCCCTATGCAAAAAGCTCAGCAAAATCCCTCCAACCATGCATAATTTTAACCTTCTCTCTCTCATTTATTGAAAACCGTATACTCCAATAGGGCGGTTTCTCTACCTTTTTGAACATAAGCACATTACAATCTTTTCATCTCCTCCTTTCCAGTTTCTTTCTCCCATTGATAATGTAAACTCACACAAAGGCAAGAAAAAAGTGGGCTGTGTTTGGATTTCCCCGGTTACTTTCCGAGAACAAAATTGAACTGAATTCATGGCTTCATTTAGCATTTTTTCACTCTTGTTTATCCACATTTGCTTGCTTCTGGGCTTATCATTTGCTGAAGATCCATTTGTGAACTATAATTTTGTGGTCTCATATATTACTGTTTCTCCTCTTGGTATTCCCCAGCAGGTTAGTTTTTTCTAGACCCGTTTCCGATTTTCTCTGTATCTACACTCTTTTGTACTCTTTTTATGTAGAATCTGATGGTTTTACAGCTTCTGCAGAAGTGGGTCTGCCTTATTTTTTATGGGATGGCTTTAGTTTTCTGAAAACTTGAATGGTAGCATCAGATCTAGGAAATGGAGTTTGGTGTAATGTTGATGAACTTTAATGGCATGTTTTGTAGTGATTGTTGGATAGAAAAGAACAATAATGAAAATGAATAAGATAAAATCTTATTTATTGTACTCTATGATAAGTGCTCTCCAATTACGCACTAAACGTGCACTTATAGCACATTTGCTGCTTTCCAAACATGTTCTTAAGGATTCAAGATTATTGAATTGCTTTGGTACACATTGCAGGTTATTGCAATAAATGACAAGTTTCCAGGTCCCACCATTAATGTGACCACTAACAACAATGTTGTTGTCAATGTGAAGAACAAATTAGATGAAGATCTCCTAATGCATTGGTAGGATATTCATAGACAGCTTCATTTGAATTTTTCTTGAAATTTTTAGTACTTTATATACTTACGATAAAGATGTGTGTTTATTTTTGGTGAGTCAGGTCTGGTATACAACAAAGGAGGACTTCTTGGCAAGATGGGGTGCTTGGTACAAATTGTCCCATCCCTTCCAAGTGGAATTGGACTTACCAATTTCAGGTTAAGGATCAGATTGGGAGCTTTTTCTACTTCCCTTCACTCCATTTTCAACGAGCCTCGGGGGGTTTTGGCACCTTCATTATTAATAACCGGCCTATTATTCCAATTCCTTTTGACACTCCTTATGGGGATATCACAATTTTGATTGGTGATTGGTATACCCAAAATCACACGGTTAGTGTTTGATTATTTATTGATCATACATCTATTTAAATTCAGGAAGATTGTGTCTCTAAATTTATGTCTAGTGACTGATTTTTGCTCTTTTATAGGCTTTGAGGAAAACCCTTTATGCTGGGAAAGATCTTGGGATGCCAGATGGTGTTCTGATTAATGGGAAAGGACCTTTTAGATACAATGATACTCTTGTTCCTGATGGCATAGACTATGAAACGGTTACAGTCGAACCAGGTGATTTATGATCAAGATCATGCGAATATTACATGTATTTACATGGTGAAATCGTTTTAGGAGTTAACACTATTTCCTATCATTACCTATATGTTTGAGAGATGCAATTCTATAGTGTAATACCTTTCAGAAGTCCTAGAGAGGAAGATGTATCTTCTGTTGACGTATAGTGTGACTTGTCAGATATATTAGGCCATATAGAATTTCAAGGTTGTCTCCCCCAATTAAGATATCCTCCTTGTTGTCCAAGAAAAGTTAGACTAAGCCCCCATTAAAATGTGTTTTTGGGTAAATGTATTTTGGAATAGTAATTTTTTGAAGAATGAGTAGCTAAAATCATAAAATTTGGAGCTTAAAGTGCAATTAGATCCATTGTTCGGGTAATTCATGTATTGTTGGTTATATAATTTATGGTTGGCATTAGTTTTTTTGATATTTTACGTGATTTGTGGTTTTTGAATTAATTCTTGTATTTACATCTTCAACATTCCAAAGCCTCTGTTTTTAATTGAGAAAATAGAAGAGCTCAATAAATGACAGTGAAGCAAGAGAGTTCAAGTTAGTGCTGGAGTTGAGGTATCCACCATGTGGAAGGTGTTTAGCATAATAATTGAAATAAGTCGTAAAATGATCTAGAATTTGACTATTCATTTAACAACAGCTTTGTCGCTTTCATTTAACAATTGAGCCAATTCAAAGCCTCAATGGGGGGCCACTTTTGTAGAGACGAGACAGAAGTGTGTGAAAAATCTCATTTTGTTAATTGTTTCTCATAGTATGGATTAAGGTTTAAATCAATATGCAAGGTTCTTCTCTTATATAAGTTGTGGTGAATTATCATAAATGAGAAATGTTGAGCAAGGCATTCTACCTGCTGATTTTATTTTCTTGTTGGGTAATGTGCAATATGCCAGAAATGGCGCTTGTTTAAGGAATGTAATATGCTTTTCTCTACACCAATTTTATTCAAGGAAAAAGAGAGAACCAAAGAAGATCTCTTACAGCAATACGTATGTGTACATATTCATATATGTATTATATATATAAATGACTCGTTTAGAAATACTTTGTCAAGAAAAAGTAAATAACTTCTGTTTCCCGTAATGTGAATTTGAATGGCTAAAATTATGATGTGTACTGCAGGCAAAACTTACCGGCTTCGTGTAAGCAATGTTGGAATATCAACTAGTTTGAACTTCAGAATTCAGAGCCATAACCTACTTCTAGCAGAAGCCGAGGGCTCATATACAGTACAACAAAACTATACTAGCTTAGATATTCATGTTGGACAATCATATTCCTTTTTGTTAACCACAGATCAAAATGCAAGCAGTGACTACTTCATTGTTGCAAGTGCCAGATTTGTTAATGAAACGGTATGGCAGAGAGTCACTGGCGTTGCGATCTTGCACTATACTAACTCAAAAGGGAAGGCATCGGGTCCTCTTCCTGACCCACCACAAGACCAATTTGACAAGACCTTCTCAATGAACCAGGCAAGATCTATCAGGTATGTTTGTCCTTAAGAAAAAATCAGCAGATTATATCAACTAAAGTTTAAATAGTAATACTGCCCTACAATCTTCAATCATTTCAAATGACTAAAATTGGACATTTGAATATCTCTTTTTATTAAATTGACCTCATAACACGAAATATTGATTTTTGTCTCTGCTTATAGCATGTTTAGTTGTATTTGAACTTTAAATCAGTTATTTTTCCCAACATGATTTTGAAAGTTACCCTTTTTAATAACAAAGTTTATTTTTTTAAACATAAGAAATTTTAAATGCAGCGAAGCTTGTTCTAGGTCTTTCACCATAACCTTCGTGGACACTGAATCTAGTTGTATGAATTATTAAATTCATTCTCTAACATATACGAGTAGTAGATAATACATACATGTCAAAATTTGAATAACTATTCCTTCTGAGGAAATGTGGAGGATTATTTCCTTTCCAATCTATACGTCAAATAACCTCTCTTTATCAAATGTTGTTCACTCTTTTGCTTATGTAGTTGTTTTTGTGTTTTACACGATGCAGATGGAATGTGTCTGCTAGTGGTGCTCGCCCAAATCCTCAAGGTTCATTTAGATATGGTTCGATTAATGTAACTGAGGTGTATGTGCTGAAAAACAAGCCCCCCATAATGATTGATGGGAAACGGCGAACTACACTTAGTGGGATTTCCTTTGTGAATCCTGCCACGCCAATCAGGCTTGCGGACCAATATAGGGTGAAGGGAGCGTACAAGCTTAATTTTCCGACTAGGCCACTTACAGGACCACCACGGATGGAAACATCAGTCATTAATGGTACTTATAGAGGATTCATTGAAGTGATATTGCAGAATAATGAAACCAAGGTGCACACTTATCACATGAATGGATACGCCTTTTTTGTGGTTGGGTAAGATATCGTCCTTTTTAGTATTAGACACATCTAAAATCTGAACGAAATATGTTCTTTCAATTGCCATTGTATTTTACACTAGCTAATCGAACTACAGGATGGATTATGGTGAGTGGACAGAGAATAGCCGGGGCACATACAATAAGTGGGATGGAATTGCTCGCACCACGTCACAGGTACATATAAAGAACTTTTTGTTGTTACTGACATTAACTTCCTCACAATTTGCATATTGTTTTAATGGCGTAATTTGATCTCTCCAGAGAAATAAAAAATCAGCCTGTTAAAATTTTAATTTAGAAAAAGGTGACATGTTTGGTGAAATTTATGTTTCATTCTGCCATGCTACGTTTCCTGCTGTTCAGGAGCCTTAATCTATCAAAGAAGTCAAGATACTCAGTTTACCTTGCTCTATCCATCCCGAGGATAGACGTGATTTCAAAATTCAAACACCTGTTTGAACATGAGTACTCCATGCTACTCGACATTTAGGACTTGAATTTTTATAGTTTCGACCATCAGGAGATGGATGGAAGTCTTCATTTCCCACGACAATATTGGGAATTGTTTTCTTACTTTTCTTTATGTTGTTTAGGTTTATCCCGGGGCGTGGACTGCAATCTTAATCTCCCTGGACAATGTTGGAGTTTGGAACATCAGGACAGAAAACCTCGACTCATGGTATCTAGGACAAGAAACCTACATTAGGGTTGTCAATCCAGAGCACAATAACAAGACCGAGTTTCCAATGCCAGATAATGCCCTCTTCTGCGGTGCACTGAGCAAAATGCAAAAGTACGTATTCTATAACCAATCATGGTATGTTTGGTAAGGTGGATTAGACTGTATTCAGATACTATCCAGTCTTGTTCACCATTGCATGCCGAATATGCCCTCATTATCGTCCATACTCTGCTGTTAGTTTCTAGTTAGCTGTGATTCCTAATTTACATCTTTATCGCTTTCAGGCCACAAGATATATCTCTTGCTACTACTTCGATCAAGGGATTTGACCTCACTTTGCTGATGATGATATCTGCATTCATTTCCTTAGTTTGATTGAGAAATTTATGCAATGCCTGTCTGGCTTTGCTTAGTCAATTGTGGTTGTGAAATTTTAGGTGTAAGTTTAGCCATGTTGATATAAATCATTTTTTATTTCCAGTTGTACTAAATGCTCCCGGATTCTTTTTAAGGTAATGGGTTTCATTATTCTTTTAATACATTTATCTTAATTTATTGCTGCCCATCTATCAATCTTCAATATATTGCCCATATATATTTTTTGGATTCCAGTAGAGATGAAATGAAATATACAATTGTCCTGGAATGAGAAGAAAAGAAGAAAGTATGCTTCTCGACTTAGTTAAGGAGGTGCCCACCAACTTTATTGCAACATGCCTTCAATTAAAAATGGTCAATGCGTGTTAAGATCCTAACTATCCACATGCTAAGCTGAAGATTAACATAGAAGTAAAGTTACTTTTAAGTATCTTTTTATCCTTGTTTGACTTTCATTAAAATTATAATTCATTTTTATCTTTTCATCAATTACACATTATCTAATAAAATAATATTACACATAACTCAAATTTTTTTCTTCTTTTTCAATCATACATTTAAAAAGGAAAAAAAAAACTATTCCAAAAATTAAAATGACAAATAATGGGGGCTAAATCGGGGCTTTATGACGGATATGATGAATAAAGCTACTTAACTAGACTTAAAAATAGGGAGTGAAGAGACAGATTGATGTGTCAGAAAATGATTGAGTTTTTTTTTTTTTTCCAAAATGTCTAATCATACATCGACACGTGTCCTATCTAGAATTGAGCCTGGATGTATAGCATGATTTTATTGTATTATTAAATAGTTTACTTTTTCTTTAACGCGAAGTTGAAAAGTTAAATCTAATCTGATCCCTTAAACCTAAATCTATTTATTGCGATTTTTATCACCCTGCATTTGAAAGAATATATGCCCGCCATACATTTTTAATCCGTAGGGCCCTCAATTTTTGTTAATTTCATTGTATTTTGTAGCAACGTCCATTTTAATAACATTGAAAGTCATAACCTTTGTTCATTGATGTATTTATATTTTTAACTTTTTCGTTACATTTTTATAGTCTCCCATTAGTACATCTTATTCTGAGTGACGATTTTTGCTCAATTATCATATTAGTGTGCATTTGAAATGAGAGACAAATATTTTCTACAACTTTTTATATTGTATTTTTTTTTAAATTTAAAATATGAGGGGGCAAATAAGTCTTAACGCCATCATAACTAATAATTAGCTCGTGTGGTTAGCGGGAAATACATGGAAATGACACAAATAAAAGAGGTCATTTTCCAAATTAACCCTTGACTTTTCCAAACATTTGTAACTACCTAAAATACCCTCAAACAAATATTAAAAACAACCTATTTCATAATAAAATTTTTTTATCTAAATCCTTAAAAAATTAACAAATAATTTTTCTAGAAATTTGAAAGAATTATTAATCTTTATTAATGAATAATTATAAAATGAAAAAATTCAAATATAAGAGAGGACCATATAATATAAAAAAGGTTACTAAAAATAAAAAAGAAATTAAATTTGAAAAAAAAAATTGATAAGATAGGATATCAAGAACAATTATATGCATCACAAGAAATATTAAAATGTTTCAAAGAAAACTTAATAGAAAATTTTGCTAAAGGAATTGTAAGATCAATAATCATAAAAGATATACAAGATATCATAGATAAATTAGAAAAAAGGAAGAAAAATATCTCAAAATACGATATACCTTTTAGAACAGACATAGACATGATAACAGATATTGATATTATAAATTATCAAACATTCCTAGACTTTGAAGAACTACTTAAAATTTTATGAAAAGACCAATAAAAAAATAGATTACCACAAGTATACAAAAAATTAGTTTTTAACCTTACCTTAAGATTTTATATACGCTTAATAACAAATAAATTAACTAAAACAAAAACAAAAGAATTTTTAAAATATTAGAATATTAGATTTGTGATTATTAGATTTTTGTTCGCTCATAGTAGCACTCATCCAATTGGTATCAGAGCCATATAGATCATGGAAATCATAAAAATAAATAATTATTATCAATGTATTGAAGAAAAAGGATGTTATATACTTTTCAACCCTATCCCTAATAAATTAAAAATAATAACATTATATGTAAGTAGGAATTTACCTAGAGAAATAAAGAAACAAATATTACATAAATTAATTGTAGGATTTATCAAAGATAGACGTACATATGAAATAATTATCGAAGTATTTGAAAATGAATTATACTATAGAGAAATATTTGAATTATCATAAAAATATAATGGAAGAAACTAAAAATATTTTAGAAAGAAAGTTAAGAAGAATAAGATTAATAAATAATAAAATTTTAAATGAATTATTAATACTTGGAGATATAACTAAAACTCAATAAAAACAAATATTAAAATTAAAACAAGAAATGTATAAAGAAAAAACAAGGTATTATGAAAAATTAAAAGAACTAACAAATATTGAAGTTATAAAAACAAAAGTATGATAAAATGATAAGAGATTGTAAAAATGTTGAGTATATAGCATTTTATTATTGTCAATCAAAAAATCGATAAAAGAAAATGTCAATTAGTGAACATATGGAAGAATTGAAACATTTAATAAAAACATTAATAAATGATGTACAAGAAATAAATAATGAAATAAAAGAAGCAAGAAATGATATAAATATATTGAAATTTGAAGTCAGAAAATTAAAAGAAAATGAAGAAAAAGAATGATAGAATAGATAAAAAAATTTATAGAAAAAGAAATAACCAGAATAGGGAAAAAACATATTGAAAGAAAAAACATAATAATAGAAACAGAAAGCATGGATGATGAATTTAGAAAAAATATATTACCTAAAATATTAGAAGAAGAGGAATTTAGAGAAAAAATGTTGGGTAAACAAAAGATTGAAGAAAATCAAGACAAAGAAAATGAATGAAGAATTAGATCTACTTATAGATAATTTTGATCATTTAAGTTTAGAAAGTATAGATGATGAATACCAAATCTTAATGAATACTGGAGGAGGGCCTAATCCCGTAGGAACCTCTAAACAAGAATCAATAGATCCAGATAAAAGTTATGTTCCTGTGTATAATAAATCATATAGATAATTTTATGATAAAATAAGAGAAAAATAACCGTCTAAAGGAAATAAATATTGTAATAGATTTGAATTAAATAATAATTATGATAAATCCGTTAATCATGGAGGAACAAAATTAGACTTAGATTGCAAAATAGGCACTAAAAAAGCCTTAATAATTTGGGCAGACTCAATGATATTATTCTTTTTTATATAATAAAGATGATACAGGGAAAAATACTGAAAGAAGAATAGATTTTTTTAATTGCATCTTTTGAAGGAAATGCTAGAAATTGGTGGGGAGGAATTAGTAGTGATACAAAATCATTAATAAAAAGAAATGTACAATCAGAAATGATAAAGTCAGATAAACTAGGAAAAGAAAGATTAGTAAAATATATTGCAGATGAATTCTTAGGAGAAAATTGGTTAAGAAATTATGAAGAATAAGCAAACGAGAAAAAAATAATGCAAGAGTTAAGTTAATTAATTTAACAATTTGCGATATGTGTAAAATTAAAGAATATACTTGTGAATTCAAGGATTACTATTATACTCAATTTTATTGTAATGAGAATCAAAAAGTATATCAAGATATATATTACAATAAATTACCAGGTTCATGGGGAATATATTTTAAAATAGAATTTGAAAAATATATTAAAGAAAATGTAGGAATACCTATAACATTAGGATCAATAATAAAATTCTTGTTTGAAAGACTTGCATATATATGCCAACAAAAACAGTTATTGAAAAAATTAGGAAAATTAACTAGAATATGCTGTGAAGATATGGAAAAACCTACAAGATGGGGATGTAATTCTGAGAAATGAAATAAAAGAAAGTTTAAAAAATACAGAAACTTTAAGAAAAAATACATAAAACCTGGAAGGAAATATTATAAAAGAAAAAATAATATACAGAAAAATAAGTCTTATAAGAAAGATAAAAAACAATGTAAGTGTTAGAATTGTGGAGAAATAGGTCATATAAGTCCTGATTGCACAAAGAAAAAAGTGAGAATATTACAAAAGGATTATTTTGAAATAGAAAGTGAATTAAGTGAAAAATCTGATATTGAACATTATAATAATCAGGAAATATTTATAAGTGAAGTAGATTCAGAAGATTATGGATCAGAATCTGAATAAAGAAATTGAAGAAATAGAAAATAATAACATAGAAATATAATAATATGAGGGAATAGAAGGTTATGGATTAAAAGTAACTTTTGATAATAATAAATTTAAGAAAATACAAAAGTTATCCTTAGATTTGAATATAGGAAAATGGGAAATTCTAGATAAAATATGGAGAAGAGAAATAATAGCAATAAATGAATACCATAAGATTGAAAAAACTATAGATGTCAGGGCAACTCAAGGAACACATAAAATAAACATTTTAACAAAAAATACTGTATCAGAATTATTATAAAAACTAAGTAAAAAACATAGTGAAAAGATCCAATATGTTTATTTAGTAGGAATACAAATAATGTCCAAATCCTTATTTAGGGAAGGAATAGATTCACCATTAACTGTAAGTTTACATGATGGAAGAATTATAAATCTGGAAGATGGTCATTTAGGAACTATAGAAGGAAATTTAGCATATCAAAAATTAATATTTACTTGTTACCCAAAATATTGTCTCATTGAAAGATAAAAACTTTAATGAAATCTTAGGATTACATTTCAAATTACATAGAAATGATATAATGGAACCAGGAGATCAAATTATGACTGTGGAATATAGGATATTATATACATTTACTAATTCTAATTATGAGAATATTTATTCTGATAAACCATACATAGAAATTCATAAGGAATGCAAGGATATTAGTAGAATAGTAGAACCAAACAAACAAATAAATCTTATTCCAGAAGAATATGAATTTAATATAACTAAAAATAAGCCTGAAATAACAAAGTTAAGAGAAGAAGAAGATTATAAAATAACATTTCACAATGGAAGGGTAATAAAGAAATCAAAAAGTCTTAGACTACCTAATAAAAAAGAATATTTAGGAGAAACTAGTGGTATAAAAGAAATAAAACCTCATGGA